CATTCAGATGTCACCAATTGTAACTAAAGTGGAGCCTTTGAGTGAATTCAAGTATCTTACAATGATGTTAGAAAATCTTAGAATCAGTAGAGGTGGTCTTGTTTCCACTACCGGGGGTGGGGGGGGGGGGGGGGTGGGGCTGGGGCTGGGAGCCCCCCCTCGATATTTTCGGAGATTGCGCCGCAACCGCTTGGAATTTTGAATTGTCATTTCATGACGTTTCATGTCTTACGCACATTTTGATACCATTTTCGTCGAAATCGGATACATCTGTAAGGTGTTACATAACAATTAGTATGCGCATGTCATCAAATATATGCTATATAATTGCATATATTCATGTACAAGCAGAAATGTGAATACTATAAATTGATATCAAATTGCTTTTGTATGTTTCTCAAAGTAACTTGATGTATTCCAGAACAAAAGAATACATTAAAAATAAGAAATAAAAAACAATAAAATACAAAAGTAAATAAATATTTGAAAACCGCATCAAATTTGCATAAATTATCATTATTAATTACATCAAAATAACTATTTTGTGTTAGAAAAGAAGTTTCATATGAATAATGGTTTTCAATTAACATTCAAAAAGTGGAGTCTGACAATTTTTGTAATGATTCTAGTTCCCTGTATATTTCTAGATTTGATATTCATGAATGCGTATTCATAATTTATGCAAATTGACCTATGCATTTTCAAATATCATAAAAATAATGAAACCTCATGAATTTGAGATGAAGGAAACATTTATTCAATACATTTTTAGCATTCTTCAAAAGTCTACAGACAAAAATGAAGAGTTTCCTGTAAAATGCATAACATAAGCATTTTGCATAATTAATTAGGCTATAACGACAAAAATTTGCATATTAGGAAAAAAACTAATTATACCATCTTGTTCCTTACGTAAATATTCGTTTGCCAAACGGTTTTCATAACACTACAGTCTATTGGGGGGAAACGAGTATGGTAAACCGGTCACATAAAGGCTTACTTTTTTGAGGCACTTCTTGATCATTTTGAAGCGCAATTTGTTTAGGGTTTCAATATTACACCATACCACGGACACTGATAACACGTAGGGCCGTGCATATCAGATTGAACATTGTTAAACGATCCCTTTTAAAGTGTCTGCTTATTTCAAAATAGAGAGCGTAGGCTACAGATCTATTTTTGTATTCTTATGATTTTAATGAAGATAGCCTTCTTACATGAATAGTGCCTGTATATCTTATGAAGGGAATACTTAGTATGTGGGTAAAATTAAGTGGTCTTTAGAGATAAGCCCATTCAAGAGAACCGATACCTTAACAGAAACACAAATACTAAGGCATGGGACTGTGATGTGAAAAACTGGGCCAACAGTCATGTATACTTACTTACTTGGTATACTTGGTTGATTAGCCCTCTTTTTCCTAAGGGAAGGGCTCTCAATTGACTCTTAAAAGTCGCCACTGTAGGTGTAGACGCTACCTTTTCTGGTAGATTATTCCAAGGTTGGACCACTCTTTTCGAATAAAAATGGCCAGCCAGTTGTGTTCTGGAACTTTGTTTAGGTACACTTTTCTAGAATGCCCTCTTAATTACTTATTTGGGTGGGAGAAAAATCTTTGTGCTGGGGTTATGAAATAACCATTACGGTATTTGTACAAATCGATAAGGTATGTTCTTGCTCTTCTTCCCTGCAATGTCTCAAAAGGCATTTGGTCTGCACCTTCTCTAACTTCTCAATATTCTTCTTTGTAAGTGGGCTCCAAGCAGTGACTAATACCCGATGATAACTTCACTGTTTAATCATAAATATGCTTTTAAAATAGCTTTAAAATGACAGCAATAAATTACCTTCATGTCCTGATCTTTCGTGCTTCTTCCTGGCTCTCTCAATCTTAGTTTTGTTGGTAAATCGCATACATGCGCGATATACATGCATCATGCAGGACTCCATGATATCGGACAGGGCCCGCATGCAAGCAAAGACTCAGAGTTCAGGGACTGTGATTGGCCATTTGCACTCTGGGATCTAAGACCCCACCCGTGATTGGTCAATTAATCATTGCAGAATGGCTGTCTGCTACATACAGTGATTTTTGCAACTTTCTATCAAAATGGTGACAAAATCTACAAATTTGGAGCTGGGAACATTTCACTATTGTTCTTAGATATAATATCTATTGATCATTTTGGACAAAATAAAGCACTTCCCAGGTGGGGGCTACGGAACTGAAGAATTTCGAGGCTTGGCCCATGGTCTATAATTCTTTCAAAGTTCTACAGAACTTTCCAAAATATTAGAAAAACTCGTGCATACACGAACTATAAATGTCCTTACACAAAACAATTTACTTAGTAATGTCAAATCTGGATTTAGACAGTTACATGCCACAAATAATGCTACTGTGACTGCTTGTGAGGCTGAATAATTACAATGACTCAGGTTTTTGTACGGGAGTGTCAGTTTCGTCTCCAAGGCGTTTAATCATTCGCTGTACCTTCACTCCGTGAAAACTATACATGATAAAGCATAACAGGAATGCATAATATTGTGTTCATGAATATAAGTTTCACAATATTAAAGCAGCTATAGCATTCTACTAAATCAAAGGCATTGTCTAAATTCAGTGTCTAATTCCTGTTCGTGTTTGCTTGTAAATCTTATATAATAAGTCAGATACTTGACAAATCTCTCTGAACTTTATGTAGAATGTCAAAGCTAACACACAATTAAACTTACATCATCTTTATCATGTCTAAATCAGATTTAACACGGTTTCAACTCAAAATGTGACCAGCTTGAATGACTTTATCATAGTCAAGGAACACAATGTGAAAGTCATAATCTTGATCTGTCATTCACACAAATATGCTCACAGTTATCATCCAATTTCATCATAGAATGTCTTATTATGCATCATACGTTTTACTTTATTATTTATTTCAACTTTAAGCAAAACCAATACATCAATTACAGATGTAATGACATATTAAATGTTCAATAGATATCTTTGGTAAGGTAATTGTACTTTCATATGTGTGAGTACACAGTTTACACATGTTATAAATTTGCCATACAAATTAGTGCTGCTACTGTGTAAGTTTCATACAATGTAAACAACTTAAAAACTACCTTTTTTACATTTATTTTCATAATGTTCAAATACGTGTTTTGACTAACCTCTGTGCCTCCATTATACTGTAGAAACAGCTCTCAGGAACAAAGGATGCTCCAGAAAACCACAAAACAGAAATCATGTTGAAAACATGATCATTGCAAATCAGCCAACAACAGGTGGCGCCAAACCAGTTTCTGACCTTCAAACTAGAAAAACTTTGAATAAGAACTGTCAAAGTAATCTTTGACCAAAAGCCCTCTGTAGTTTTATTATTGCAATGTCAAGCTAAATCAATTTATACTAAATAAAAATACTTTAACTGGCAAATACAAAATTACAACTTTCACAGCTATGTTAGCACTTATTAATTAAATCGTTAGCGCAATTGATGACTGTTGTCTCATAATAGGTTTATTTCTAGACTTCGACACAAATGGCCTTGAAATTCTTTTGTATAAACTTTCTCTCTACGGTGTCAGACGGAAGACCATTGAGAGGTTTAGAAGCTATCTTTCAGACAGAACACAGTATACCTCTGTAAATAACTTCCAGTCATCAATTACACAAATTACCTGTGGGGTGCTTCAAGGCTTTCCTCTTGGCCTTCTTCTGTGCATACTATACATATATATATATATATATATATATATATATATATACATTATTTCAAACGATCATCTTATATTTTATCTTTCATATCATTTCCGGATGACTCTATTTTGCTCTCATGTCATGACCCACAAACTCTCCCAGATACAATTAATTCGGATTTCGTTTTGGTTCAAAGTGGGATACAAGCCAACAAACTTTCATTGAACATTACAAAGACAAATTATGTAATATTTGGCAACACTACCGATCATCTTCCTGGTCAAATTCAAATAAATGGTATCGAACTAGAATGAGTTCAAAATACTAAATTCCTTGGATTTATGTTGATCGCAAATTGACGTATTAATTATTTATGTAAATTATTTAACAAGAAACATTGGTGTCATAAATCATGTTAGAAATACATTTCCTTTACAGGTTTTATTATCACTGTACACAACTTTTTTTGTTTGGCCTTACATAAATTATAGGATTTGGGCATGGGGAAATTCTTGTAATTCTTGATTTTAATTGATCGAATATAAACTTTGCAGGAGTGTGCATTGAGAATAATCCACAATGTCTACTTTCGTTCCCACAATAACCATTTATTTTTACAAGACAACATTCTTAAAATTGATGATTTGTATAAATATTGGTTTCTCTGTATCTTTATGTTCCAACTAATTAAAAATGAGTGGACTCTCCCGATTTCCTCCATTTTTCAAAAATAAAAACGAGATACATTCATACCCCCACTACACAGTCGAACCAATTTCACCCTCCTCGATGGAAACAGCTGCTGCTTTCACACACAAAAACTATCATTTTCACCGTTTCAGTATTTTGGAATAACATGGTAATGCAAATTTTAAATTCTTATGATCAAATCCTGTTAAAATATTACCCAAACTTTAAAAGGGAATATTAATTCACTTTGAATGATTTTCCTCTTGGAAAATGATTCATGATTGTTATTTTCTTCAGTGGATTCATGACGTAAAATACAGATTAGGTTGTCAGATACACTGCATGCAGAAGGCCGTTATACTGGCATTTAAAAGCTGCTACGGCCTTCTAGTTCTAGCAGGCCTAGATTCGAGACCAGATGTTCCATGGCCCTTCGATCTTGGATCGTGTATATCCGTCGGGACGAAAACAACAAATCCTTGAAAAATCGATCATCTCCCTTCCTGTCACTAGCACCTCAATATGAAAACCAACAAATGCTCTTATCCCACGATCCTGCACCGTACCTCGTCATATCTATATCCATTTGAGAATCAGAGATCACTTCACTTCGCATCAGAGCTGCGATCATCACTGAACTATCATCTTCCTTCGTATCGCAGGTGTGTAGAAACAGAACAATAGCATGAACATGACGTGGAAGGCTGCGGTCGCTCTCTTGGTGGTAGCGGGGCTCGGGGTAGCCTCGGCTGCTCTCGCAGAACCGAACCTCGCTGGCTGTTACCCTCAATGGACCGAGGAATTTTCCCGACCGGTCTGCAGCGACTGCTCTAAGAGTAAACATGCACAGGAAACTTGGCAGTGCTGGAGCGGCATGTACTACATGTGAGTATCTTTTCCACTTTCACATATATCGACAAATCCAAGTTATCCTCTTTTGTAACCGACCACAACTGCATAATGGCGTATCTGATTAGAGTTAATATCTTGGGTAGTCTTTTCACACCGTGGGGCTATACAGGAAATTGATACGAAACTCGTATAACTTAACATCGAATAAAGAATGGGTCGTACACACGTGAAACATAATTTATGTAACGCCAAAAGAAACATCGTGTTGACACAATTACGTATACTATGAGTTTTGTTGCCCAAAAGCCCCCTCCAGAATAACGTTTACAGCTTTCTCGTACGATGCGACGTTCATATAGAATGCAGACTTTCATTTACTTTTTTTCGTTCTAAACGATGCGCAAACATCCGTTTCGCTATGTGAAGTTTCGTTAAAGAACGTTCAGACGATAACAAATATCGTATAGCTCTGGCTTTTGTACTGGATAAATTACTACACGATTAGTTTTGCTGCTATAAACTGGGGTAAGAAAGACACAATTTTTAAAGTGAATAGCCATATTACTTTACCCCGACCCCCATCATAAACAAAAATCCTCTTTGTGGGCTTGCCTTGAACCATAATGCATGGTCCTACAAAGGAATTTCTCCTGTTGGAGACCAGGGGAAATCGCAATGAATTATTGATAATTTATTGCATCTTCTTTGTTTTGTTGTGTTTGTGGGGGCGGCGACGTAATCTAGCCCCGCTGCGTACAGTCATGATTCAGTGGCTACGCAATGGCCTCGTTACTGCGGGGCCCTAGAATAAAAATCATGTCGATCAGCTATATAAGTGCCCTTTTGTGAGGCATTAATCCTCATTACTGTCAGCTATGACTTAAGGACGTAGGTCCCCTATTTGATTAGCATAGTAGCACACACATGATTTAGCAGTCACGCAAAATAAACACTCGTAAATGTATTAGGAATAAATCATTGTCAAAATCATTCCATAAATTGGGGTAAAATAATTAATCCACCTTTATGATCCACAGTGTACATGTACATGTAAACACAAAAGTAACTACCCCCTACCCCTGGCAACCTCTAAGGGGGGGGGGGGTGGAGATGGTAACCACAACTTTACCTCTTTTTTTCTCAAAAGGGAGGGGGGTGTTGAGTAAGAAAATAAAATAAAACGATTTTATTTTGAGGGTTCACTTCCCCCCTCCCCGTTAAGCGAAACAAAATTGCACACGATCTCCATTGAAGCAGTTCCTTAAAGTTGACAGCCCTGTATGTTAGGTTGAAATAACGGTCTGTGCCCCTTCCCCCCCCCCCCCCCCATTGGAAAATCCTGGATCCGCTACTGGCTCATGATGAGGTGGTGAATTTGTGTGACGTAGAGCTGCAGCTGTTCAAAAATCTATGGGCATTCACGATTATTGCCGTTTCCGCGGAAAATTCCGATATTACATTTACGTATGGTGGGTTTAATTTCGCGGACCAGCATCAGTGTCTTGCTTTCGTAGAACTCGGATATCAAAAATGTTAATAGAATAATTGTTTTAACTTTGAACCAAGGTTCTTGCCTTTGTTTGAATATTATGTTATATAATTCTTTATCTTTTATTTAGTGTAAAATACCAATGCTTTGTATTTAATCACAGAACATAATTACCCTAGATGTAGAATTGCTTGTAGGTTAAGTATGTATTTATATTTATTCATTACATTCTCATTCATTGCTGTGATACTATTGTGTGTTAGTGGTACCAGACACGATTATCATTTTTGTCCTGGTCCCATTTATCCTTTCAATGTTAAGCATTTGCATTTGATTAATATATTGATGCACTTTTTGTTTGGATAATAAACTTCAAACTCAAACTCAAACTCAAACTCAAACTCAAACTCATTTGAAGACAAAAATAGGAATGTTACATTCAATCCATTTCACATATTCTTTACAAATTCATTAAGATCAATGAATACTAGAAAAACGCCCAACTTTTACACTACAAATGGATACAACTAGACTATTCATCGTCACAAGAATTCCGGCGATATCGCGATCTCAAAATTTGATGTCGGATCGAATGCGCTACAGCTGATTAAAATTTCATAAAAAAACAAACAAGGAGAAAAAGGCGAATACAAAAATCCGCTCCCTTTTTTTTTGTTGGGGGGGGGGGGGGGGTTAACCTCACAAGTGTGTAGCCTTATTTAGTACAATTTTGTTCTAGATATATTTAACTTTCCACAGGTTTTCTGTATTTGAACAATAAACAACCTGATTGATAGTCACGTTGAGATACGTTTTTCATACAAATTATACCTTGGCCATACAACGGCACATAAAATTGTTATTACAATTATAGCAAAATTTAATTTATATTTCAATTGTACACTACAAAAAACACTCAAAAATATGTTGTAAACAGATTTTTTTTTTTCTTTTTCGGAAGTTCTTTTTTTAAATAAAATTTGTTCTTGCAATATCACTATTTTGCAATATCACGATACGTTCCTTCAAAACATGGTACCTTTTTTTTTGCAATTACTTACAAAAGTTTCTCTTCTTGCAATTATTAAAATACAATACAATAGTGTTGTTTTTATATCCATAAATCCCAAACCATTTTTATTGGCTCGTAAGTTTCACCTTAATATTAGTTTTACGTAACAACCATAGCTCAAGCTTAGACCACAATTATATTCGAATGTGGAAAGTAACACAAAATATGTATAACTGTCTCTTTACTGCTATTACAAAATGTACATTGTGTATCGGTTACTTATCTCGTTATATATATTTATTAATTTAAATTGAGTACCACTATAAACACTAAAGCATGTTAAGGAATATTTGTATATCTCTTTCAGTTATTGGTGTCTATTGTGTATACTCCTAAAATCACGAATGTACATCTGTTTTAATACGAACTGTCAAAACAATACTTGAAAATTTCAAGTTCATTCTGGGAATATTCCCAGGTTATCATGAATCAATAATGACATTGGCATTGAAACACTAGTTTTATCACTCTTTTGTTAAAAATTAAAAACGGTTATGAATTGTAGGAAGAACCATTTTTTTCCTTCAGTCGAAAACAATGCGTTCCCAGAGGTTTAATGCAAAACTGTCGTATTGTGCTTTATTATCTTTACTTCACATAAATCCAATTCATGTTATCAGGCGACTATATACATTATGATTTAAAGTTCTTAGCCGTGTTTAATATAAGCATAATGAGGACATGTTTTGTGCTTATTAAGAATTAATGATCATAAGAAAGAATAACTTTTACCATTCGTTTGTAATTTATACAGTAACGCTTATGTTTTAATCAGAAGCATATTTTGAAAGAAAAAAGTTGTACTTATTTTCTCTTGGTACTTGGTGCTTGGTTCCTCCTAAATACTCAACAATTAAGCCGCTTTAAATCGGTTTGATGGATGGTAGACGATTAGTTAGAAGTGGAAAGTTCTAAAAAGGACAGCAGATTTGAGAGAGAGAGGACTGGTTTGATCGATGGTAGACTGTTGAAGGCTGTTCCATTTTATAGTGGTCCTTGAAAAAAAAATACTGTGTGTAAACGTCCAAATTGGCACTTGAAATGTAAAACTGGTTTGAGTTACCACGTCTTCGTCGGACGTGTTTTGGGTTGGTTATCGATTGGAAGTCGATGTCTAGTTGACCATTTATTGTATTATAGAAGCAGGTAAGACATTTTATCCTCTGCTTCACTAACTCCAAAGTGAACGCTACGATAATGTTTGTTACTTTGTAGATACCAAGTCTCAATTTTGTTCTGAAAGTATTCTAATATCTCACTTATACAACTCAGCCACTACGATAAAAAATCACGCCATTTTATGGTCACTTTTGGGTTACACCTAGCTGACAACGGTTCTTATCAATACTTAAAAGTAAAACATCAACAAAATACGGCCACTTCTTGCTTCAGCGTAGTCAAATATATATATGCAGAAGCTTATACTGTAGGTTTTTATCTTTTTCGGTTGGAAATCCGTCATACTCAAATCTTAAATATGTTCAATAACAAGTTGTTGTAATAATTATGACAGGAACTCACTTTCACGTTGCATGTCATAAAAACAAGTTACATGGCTGCTTTGTGCCAATTAGTAACTACCTAAAGATGAAGTGTCTAGTTAAAGTCCGTTAGACTTAGAGTGTAAAAGTCACAGAATACATATGATTGAAACAATGGTTTTTAGCATTTAAGAACAACTTGTGATTTTTGATCACATATCCAGGCTTTCGCCTTTCGGATATTCAAATATTGTTTTGACAGATCAACTCACAAGCCAAAAAACTGAAAGTCTTGGACCTGCTTCAATTTTGTCCTGTCAGCAGTACAAATATCGCCTTCACGAAGGTTGTACATCATGAATTCTGTCTTTGTACTGACTATTTGTAGACCGACTTGCCTTGCTGCAGACTCTAGTTGTTCTAGGAGCTTCCGTGCCTTTTCCAGTTTGTCAGCAAAGTCGGTATCTGTGATCATTACAGCAGGATATCTACTATTTTTCCATTCCGCTAGGATGAAGCCTAGATCCTCGAACCCTTCAGTAGCCATTATGAATAGGTAGGGTGCTAAGGTATCTCCTTGGAGCACTCCTGCTAAGATGGTAAAGGAGTCAGTCTCTCCATCTGGTAAACGTACTTGAGCTGTGGTATAGTTGCTGCTGTAACTATTGTATGTGGTATTCCGTAGGCTCTTAAGATCTCTAACATCTTCTTCCTATTGATTGAATCGAAGGCCTTCTTAAAATTCACGAACGTAAGCACTGCTGTCAGATGCTTTGCTTTAATACCTTCCAACAGTCTTCGCAAAGTTAGAATTTGCGCTACTGTAGATCTTCCTATATGGACGGAATCCATTCTGGTTCTTGCGGAGAAGGGGTTCCAGGTGAGGACGGATACTACTCAAAAGCATTTTGTTGAATACTTTTGCAGCTACCGGGGTCAGTGCTATACCACGGTAGTTTTGAGGGCTACTGAGATTTGTGGTACAGGGATGATTATGCTCCTAGACCACAAGTCTGGTTTCTCGTAACATGTAGCAGGTCTTATTCATTCTTTCATTATGAGATTGTGCCTAAACATCCAGAATTAATCGGTGATTCCTTAGAATATTTAGACAATCAGACACAGCAGCAACATATTGATGCTGAAGCAGAATCTCTAACCACGTAAAGCGAAAATCTCGAATATCATCCCTGTTAATGCATTCATTACAATTTAGGGCCAAATAAAATGACTAAACATAAGTTTTCGCTTTAAAGCTTAAGTTTATGCTATGTAGGTGCCTCTCTTTTTTTCTCAAGAATGTGCCTTTTTTTGTTGTTGATGTTTATCTCCCACTTTGAAAGACGCTCCGTCGCCCCCTGACTTAGTGGGATTCTTGCCCATTAGAACGTTTTGATTTTGATTTTAATAAATGTTCAATATCAAATAAAAAAATGTATCGAAATACCATTTACAATGTGCTAAAGGTATATTGTCGCCCCATGGCCAAATTTCCATAACTCTTTGTTCGGGCGGTATGCCCCCCCCAAAAAAAAAATAAAAAAAAAATAAATAAAAAATCTTTAAAATATCATAATTAAAATCGAGTGTTGAAAAAACTAATTAAAAACAAACAAACGAGAAAAGTGGGAAGGGGGAATGACAAGGGGAAATGACAATGAAAGAATACGTTTAGCACCTACCAAATACTCCTCGTGATCAGTAGTTTTTTATTATCACATTTCAATTTCCGAGCAATACCGGTGGTACCTCCCCCTCCCCCCATATCCATGTTTAGGTGCTACTTTAGACTCCAAAGTTCTCTGTGTTAGTGATGTTGAAAACAGTTGTTTTACAGAGGCATTTTAGGCCTACGTTTATTTCATTTGATAAAATGTGTGTTTTGAATACGATATGCCACTGTAACCCTGAAACATAATTAACCTTACTCTCTTTCCCCTTTTCCTTCCCTTTCACCCTCTCCCCATTATACCCGTATCTGCTTTTCTCACCGTTTACGTCAACCTCTAAATCCCCTTCTCCCTTCCACCTCACCTCCTCTCTGCCCCCTCTCTCCCTCCCCTCTCTCTCTCTCTCTCTCCCTCACTTTGCCTCTCTCTCTCTTACTTTTTACTCGTCACTGAACAGCTATTTCCCCAAGAAGTTGACCAAGGCGGAAGCCTTAAAATCCTGCGGGCCTTGGGATGAAGCTGTGTGTCAAGGCGAGTATGTTGGTGGAACAGATAAGTTCCAATGGCGAACCACCCTTGCCTCCTCCCCGTTGAAGGGTGAGCTCAACGATGCTATTTTGCCTGCCTTCAACAAAGCTTGCCTCAAGCCCAAGACCAATGGCAAAGATCTGTTCTGGAGCGGGGGCAAAAGTATCAGCCGTGGGCAGCTGGTATTTGGCGATGGCAGCAGGGGTGCGACATCTATCACTTCGCTCGGGAAAGGTGAATGCGTCGCTTACAACGGCAGCGACGGCAGCATGGTGAAAGTATCATGTAGCGCGAAGTTACCCTACATGTGTAAGATCCAACCTCCAAGTCATTAGAGGAATCTAGATGAAAAGGAACGGCGAATGCCATGACCAACAGAAAAACCACTTCACCTATTTGGATAGAATTTAATCAAGAAGGGGGGGGGGAGCTGAGCCATAATGTTAAAAAAAAATCCATCAGTGCACTTTCTGTACAGCCATCCATAGTATCGTGGCTGTACATTATACCTCTGTATGGTATATGGTATCTATTTTCCAAATCACAACCTAAAAACAATACATACAAAATAGAAAAGTACATATAAAGTCGAGAATATAGTGAATGGATGGAAAGCCCATTCAGCTTTGTTAGCGTGATAACAACATTCTTCCTTGGGGTCTATATATCATTCAAGATTAGTATTTTTAGTCTACGTTGGTAGAGGAGAGCTCCCACATGCTTCCGATCACTATTCTTTGGTGGCCATTTCTCGTCCCAAAGATACTAGGTCGCTGCAGAGTCAGACTTTCAAATAAGACCCTTACAATTCTCGCCAAAATCAAGGTCTATATATGCTACTTCAAACCAAATCTACTAATGGTTTCTTTAAAGTTAACGTGATAAGGATAAAAGTCAAGAAGTCATATAGATGATCCTTAATAACAAACAGGCTTACCAATAATATACAAGGCTTTAAACTTTATTTATTTTATCATTAATACTGAATTAGGTCGATCAGCATTCGTTATTACGTATTTTCCTCATCAAATCACTGAAAAGGTGTCACTTTCGTTTCGTAATGTATCGTTCTCGTTTAATAGTGTGTACGCTAACATTGCATCAGAAATGATCATGTCCAATTTTTGATTTCGAGATCTTGTTCATTTATGTATAATACCTGAGGGTATTAATAAAGAGATTGGTCAAAATCATCTTAAACATTATTGTCAATCGCTATTTTTGTTTGTTTGTTTTTTGGTTGGTTTTTATCAACCAATTTGAGAGAGTGTGTCACGATCCGGCTCTGCAATTCGTCTATTTGCGCTATTTTACCAACCAATAAAGCACGATTTTACACCTATCCTTCATACGCTTACAACCACGCACACAAAAAACATATATATATATATATATATATATATATATATATATATATATATATATAAGGAGAGTCCAATCATAAAAGGGTCTAAATCCACCTATACCAAAACTGATTTATTAACATAAATATGTACTTCTGATCCATTGGAATCAACTGCACTATGTTGCCTATCAGAAATATTTTTCAAAAGGTTCCAACATTTTGAATACGAACTATTGTCTCATTCTTATAGGGCCTAAATCCAAAATTGTTTCAATCCAATTTTTTTTTAATTTGTTCGTTTAAACAACGTATCCTTAGGCTAAATTTTAATATTTAAACAAATATGCTGCAATTACTAATCTAAATGGTCAGGGCAATATTAAAATAAATTCTAAATAATAAAATATTTTAAACAAGTATTTTTGGGATGGGAGAGAGAAGAGAGAGAGAGAGAGAGAGAGAGAGAGAGACAAAGTTGGAGCGAAAGAAAGAAGAATGGGGATGAGAGTAAGAAAGAGAGAGAGAGATAGAGAGAGAGAGAAAGAGAGAGGGACATACAGAGAGCCAGACAGAAAGAGAGAGAATAACAAGTAAGAGGGATACCGAAAGAGGGAGAGAGGGTGATAAAAAGAGAGGGAGAGAGAGAGAGAGAGAGATAAAGACAGAGAAGAGAGAAAGTTGGAGCGAAAGAAAGAAGAATGGGGATGAGAGTAAGAAAGAGAGAGAGAGAGATAGAGAGAGAGAAAGAGAGAGGGACAGACAGAGAGCCAGACAGAAAGAGAGAGAATAGCAAGTAAGAGGGATACCGAAAGAGGGAGAGAGGGTGATAAAAAGAGAGGGAGAGAGAGAGAGAGAGAGAGATAAAGACAGAGAAGAGAGAGAGTTAGAGAGAAAGAAAGAGGAAGGGGATGAGAGTAAGAGAGAGAGAGAGACAGACAGACAGACAGAAAAAGAGAGAATAACAAGTGAGAGGGATACAGAAAGAGGGAGAGAGGGTGATAAAGAGAGGGAGAGAGAGAGAGGGATAAAGAAAGAGAAGAGAGAAAGTTGGAGAGAAAGAAAGAGGAAGGGGATGAGGTAGGAAAAGCGAGAGAGTGTGTGAGAACGCGAGTTGTGTTTGTGTGTTGTGAAGCATTACTGCTTGAAATAGATTATCATAATATTGGGTGTAATGATGAATACCCATGTACATCAATAACTTAATAACAGCTACGAGCTTAACAGCACTTAGGCCTAAAGGAAAAAAAAATGTTGTATTGCCCTTTAGGTGCCAAAACATGGGTCGGTCGTTCGGAAATTATCCCCCCCCCCCTTTTTTTTTGTCCCCCTCCCTCTTTGTGCTGATATTTCTCAGTTTAGAATGCTTTAATACCTTTTTTTTCTAACGTCAGTAGATTTCTAGATTTTGGGGTCGGTCGCAAAGGGCAATACAACATTTTTTGTTTGTTTAGGCCTAACAGTAATATAAGAAGATCAAATACTCTCAGAAATGTTTATTGCAAGTACTCATGACCTTTTTATTGTATGTTTGGATGACAGTTTTCACGGAATTGATGAATTTATTTTGGAATAAAAACGGATTCAATGTTGATATAAAAGATCTACTTATTAAAGAAACCGAATATATAACTTTTAAAAGAGAGAGAGAGAGAGAGAGAGAGAGAGAAAGAGACACTAACAAGTGAGATGTATAGCAAGAGGAAGAGGGGAGTGAGAAAGAGAGAGAGGGAAAGAGGAGAGAGAGAGGGGGAGGGGGGGGGGGGGAGGAAAAAAAGGAGAGGGGATGAATATGAGAGGGATACAGAAGAGAGAGATAGAGAGAGATGTGAGGGGGAAGGATGAGAGAGAAAGAGACAGAGAGACAGAGAGACAGAGAGAGAGACAGAAATAAAGACAGAGATAGAGGAGGGAAGGGTGATGGATGAGAGAGATGAGAAAGAGAGAGAGATAGAGACAGAGAGAGAGAGAGATAGAGCTATGTTTTTCCATATTTAATCGTCTCTTCTATCTTTCCAATATCTATTCTTAACATCATTTTCTCTTTCTGAATTTCCTTATGTTATTTGTTGTTTTGTCTTCTATCATCTCGTATGTTATTGTTTGTTGTTATCATTCTATCATTTTCTCTTACTATCTCTCTTTACGCTCTCCTTTGTTTCTTCCTTCAATTACATTTTCTTATGTTATTCTTCGTTTTTATTTTTCTATCATTTTCCTTCTTATCCTTCTATATGTTATTCGTTGTTTTTCCTTCTATCAACCTTGTCTTATCTTATTATTCTACCGCCTTGTCTTAGCTCAGTCTTTTATTCTATTATTTCTTCTTTCCATCTTTCCTTACGCTATCCTTTGTTTCTTCCTTCTATTACTTTTTCTTATGTTATTCTTCGTTTTTATTTTTCCATCATTTTGCTTCTCATCATTCCTTATGTTATTCGTTGTTTTTCCTTATATCAACCTTGTCTTATCTTATTAATTGTATTTCCTTCTACCGCCTTGTCTTAGCTCAGTCTTTTATTCTATTAATTTGTCCTTTTATCTTTCCATACGATATCCTTTGTTTCTTCCTTCTATTACCTTTTCTTATGTTATTCTTCGCTTTCATTTTTCCATCATTTTGCTTCTTATCATTCCTTTTGTTATTTGTTGTTTTGCCATTGTTTGTGCCATCGTTCTATCAATTTTTATTTCTGTTTTTCTGATGGTATTCTTTGTTTTCCATCTTTCATCTTCTCTTCTATTTTTCCGATATCTATTCTTTATCATTTTCTTTCTTTCCTTATGTTATTCTCCGTTTCTTCCTTCTATCACCTTTTCATACGTTATTCTTTTGTTTCCCTTCTTTCATCTTCTCTAATGCTATTCCTTGTGTCATCTTTCTACCACTTTCATTTTCTGTCTTTCCTTCACTGTTACCTTTTCTTATGTTATTTTTCATGTTTATCTTTCTATCATCTTTCTCATCGGTCCTTTTGCGCACGTATAGTCGTAAGATTTTTTCTCTTTGTCTCTTAGTGGTGTTTATTCAATATTCAGACAGTAACATAATTTTGATTACAATTTAGCAAATCAATGGAACATCAATAATACACAAATTATTTATTCAAATATAACTAAGCAAATTCGCAGGAAATTTCATATTTTGTACTTTCAAATGTTCGTTTATTTCTTTTCTGTTAGTCATTTCTCTCTTAAATAAGTAAATCAAACTCAAATCTTTATTATCATACCCATACTTATTACGAAAAATAATCATTTTATAAATCGACCAAAAAGCAATCGTCATTATCAAATCGATTTCGGTTTGCAAATTCATTTTGAGTAATAAAACAATATCTATCTATATTCTAAGATTGAAAGCACGTTAAACTAAGTCCTTTAAATATTCAAAGAAGGTTTCATTTGCCTTGCATGAAATGAAAGCATGAAGCACATCTTCAGTCTTTTTGCATTTTAAACAAAGGTCATCGTTTGAGAGACCCCACTTGAACAGATTTTTACGAACTGGTAACATAATCTATAAAAGCTTGAAATTAAATTCACGTAGACGAAAATCTTTTATCCCAATCAAATTCCTATTAAAAACAGACGACCATTTAACGTCCTTCTGCAAGACATCTTCCCAATACAAACAACATTTATTTATTTCAATTTGTTCAAAACTTATCATATTATACCACTGTTTACAACTCAAAAGACTAACAGGCTTAACTGATTTTCCAAATACAAAGTGGGAGGTAGAAAAATTATGGTCTTTGAAAACCAAAGGTACCCTATGCTTATCATTTATCCAAATTTTTGGAATTGATTTTTGTAGCTTTGTATAGTCAAAAATCAAAAATTGTTTACTTCTTCTAGTTTTAAGTAAATAATTCATTTACTGAAACAAAAATACCATTTTTAAAGATATCATTTAAGTATACCACTTTTATACCAATCTTCATAAAATAACATTTTCTTTTCAAAAACAATATCTTGATTATACCATAAAATTCTTTCGTCGACATGTTTCTGTGTCTGACATTCAGCTGCTGTGTATTTTTTTATGAGGTACCATGCATGTAATATTTCTATGTAAAAATGTGGGACATTTCTAATTTTTAAGAGATTTAAAGTATAATCAGTATAATTGCAATTGAGCAGTAGATGCAGCCCTCCCAAACAGTCAAACCAATGTTTACACATATATCTTTACAATTTCCTGTTGTATTATCTAAGAACATCCCAAGCCACTTCAGCCTAAACGTTTTTACCTTTTCAATTTTACTTTTCCAAAGAAATTTAAATATCAGGCTATTAAGTTTTATCAAAAAGGTAGACGGTATTGTATCAACAATCATTAAATGTATAACTTGACTGATTGCAAGTGATTTAATAATAGTCAGTCTTCCAAACAAAGTCAGGTTTCTTTTTCTGCAGTTATCTAGCAGTTTTTGCATTTTTTCTAATTTATTTTGCCAATCTATCTTTAAAGCACACTGCAGATCAGGTGCGATATGATGTCCTAAGTATTTTACTGGCTCATCTGTCCAATGTCAGCCAAAACAAGATAACGACCATCGTTGACAGGCTGTTCCAATCCAAATCAAAACAGTCTTTTCTCTATTTAACTTCGGTCCTGCAACTTTGCCAAAAACCTCTAATTCGATTAAAATATTTTCAAAAGAATTTGTATCAGATACATAAAATAAGGTGTCATCTGCATATTGCAGCAATTTCAGATCAATACCTTTATCATCAATATCTAGACCTTTGACTTCCTTATTTTCTCTCACTTTATTTGCCATTAATTCTGCGGCCATTACAAACAATAAGGCCGAGAGGGGACACCCTTGGCGTATTCCTCTCAGAACAC